GGAATTCACACCACATTCCTGCCAGAGTGCCACACCAGGCTGGTGCAAGCTCGGTCAAAGCAAGGATGTAACTACTCGTGGGGAGCTGAACCCCACGGGTGCCTGCGGGGCCACGGCAGCAGGGAGACGACCGGGGTCCCAGGCTGACTCCCAGCCCCCGGCTCGCCAGCCCTCCTCCACACCAGGGCCGGCAATTTTAGGTACAGGCTTTAGAATTGAGGCCTGAGCACCCTGCAGTTGTTTGGGCATAAAAAAGTTGTTTGGGTGATGCAAAAGGGATGGAAAAAAGATAGCGCTCCTCCTAGTCTGAAAAAAGCCCCCATGGGAGCAACGAGTCCATGGCTCCTCGCTATTACCACCAGCGTGGCACAGGGCTGAGTAGGGCTCGAGATCACTTCATCAGCCTCCAAACCAGAAAAGATGACACTCCTCTCTTTTCCCTTGCTGAAATCCATTTCTAAGGTGCTTTCTAGGAGGTAGAACGGCTGCTCCCCTTCCCTGGAGTCACAAATGTCAGGCACTTGGCTGCAGATACCTTAATGTCATTAAATGGTACCCTGTAGGAGAGGGAGCAGTGGACATATGGCAGTGGGTGGCAAAGCTCTGATTTCAGGAAGTGCTTTTTTTAAGAAGGTTGGGGGCGTTTAACCTTACACAGGAGCCAAGATGAAAAGTGGCATCAGGACACGGGAATAATGCGGATAGCAAGTATACCAGGGACGAGCCAGACAGCCCCCGGAGGGGAAGGTTAATCTCCACTACAGGCTGCTCAGGAAGCAGAACGAGTCGCTAAAGGGCAGTTTAAATAAAGTTGTAAAATACACGGAGTCTAGAGCGGAGCCAGCACCTTCCTTCCCTCGGCGCGGTGGGACACGCCAGCGCTGCCCCTGAGGCTCCCGAGGCAGGTCTGCGCTGGAAGCATCCGCACCGTGAACCAAGGCAAAACACAGAAGCAAACAGTTTTGCTACTAAATTAGGCCATGGGGTTCGACAGGCACCAGGATGTCCCAAAGCTGAGCGTGAATTAGCAGTGGGAAGAGAGCTCCCCTCCGGCAGGGACGGACAATTCCCATGGCCTGGCAGAGCGACTGGCTCCATCTCCCACCTTTCCCCGAATAAACAGGGCAGTGCCGCTGCCTGAGCACGGTGAGCTCTCCCTCTCGCTCGCCCACCTTGCTTTAATTAGATAAGTGAGAAAATGTGATTCTGTTTCTCTCCTGGATTCCCCCCACCCCCTTCCTCTCCTCTTTTGTCTGAGCTCGTGGCTTATTTTGAAGGGGAGTAATAATTAGAACATGTTGCTCCCTTTCATCAGCTTGAAAGCCAATGTCACATATCACAACCCATGTCACTTTTCACTCTTAGTCTTCCTTTTGCTCAGCTGCAAAAAGCCGGCTCTGTGTGTGTGCGTGTGCGCGCGTGACTGCATGCAGTCGCGACTCGGGCTCGTCGCTGATGGCATTAAGGGTACATATAATCGCAGTGTTTTTCACCAAGGGATCTGAAGAGTACGTACCATCACAGTCTCTAGAAGACAGGAGAGGCTTTTATAAACCAACAGCTTTTCGCACCAGCTCTTTTAAGCACTGTAGTCAAGGGTGAATTTCATTTAGCCTTGCTGATTTAAGAATATTCAAGTGATTTAGGCAATCAGCAGCCTTTTTCTTTTGGGTTCTCCGTTATGAAGGCTTCCTAGCTCCGTTAGCTATGATTGTACTAAATATCCTGTTACTATTATCCTTTTCATTTAAGACTGGAATAAGTACCATAAAGCATTCCAACCTCCTTACCATACCATCTGTTATTGCTCTCCATTCTCTCTTGTCTTTCCATTGTTCCTTATACAGCTATGAAATATCTGCTGCACCCACTAATGTTACCGGTTTTTATTAAAACAGCAGAATACCTGCATAGGGCACATTGCCAAATGCAGCAGACAACAACCGCGGGTCCCTGGAGTTGTGGTTTGTACCTGTAACTCCGAGGTTGTTTTCTTCTTGCTACTTGGCTGCAGGGGCTGGCTGGACAAGTAGAAATATTTCTCAGGTCTTTGCTGGGAATCACTTGTGACTACTCTACAACCTGCATCACATGCCAGGGTGACGCAGAGAATATTAATGCCCCTTCTGGCCTAAAATTAAGAGTTATCAACTCATAAACATGGGAGACCATGCCTCAGCTCCTCAAAAATGAACACCATTATGCAAAAATCTAACCAATTTATTGTTTAAAATGCTAGCGAAGTTTTTGAACACCATCAGGACTGCTTTTTCAGGTGACGTGAACTCAGCATAGCTCCTGTTGGATGAAGGCAGCTGCTCGGGTTTTGCAACAGCACAGGATCTAGCCCATGAACTCCTTGCTGAGCCGTGATGCTGCCGGATACCCCGGTGGTGCTGTGCATGGCCGGGGTGATTCTGCAGGAGCAGGGCACCGCTATCACCTGAGCAAAAGCTTTTTGGACAGTCTCTAGGGACACAGTAGAGTAGTGACTTTTGAGAGATGCTATCTGGCCTGCTTCAAGGCACCTATTTCATCAACACTGATTTCAGTGGCTGAACTGAAAGCAGGGCCTTCAACCAGCCTGCAATCACAAGCGTGTTTCATAAAAAACAGGGAAACAAAAATCTTAGGAGATCTTATCTTTCCTTAATTACCTAAACATTCCGGGGAGACATTCAGCTCTAGATTCAGACACTTAAATAGGTACATACAAGCAAGTATTTACTTGTCAGCTCGACATGTGTAAACTCACATTATAATTAACAGAGATTTAGTCAACACACTTAATACAGTCCCCAGAGCGACCTGAGCTGAGAGGACGCATCACGCACCAGGGGAAGCAGAGAATATCAGTGTCCCCTTCTGGCCTAAAACTGTGAGCCATCAGCTCCTGGGAAAGGGAGCGTGTTCCTGAGATCACGCTTCAGACAACGCCGCATTGAGATGTGGACAACCAGATGTCAACCCAAACTGGAGGGTGATTAATTCTCCCTTCTGGTGGGAATTTTATCATCCATTTGCCCTGGGCGCTGTGCTCAGAAGGTCGCAATCACACTATGAGGAAGCCTAAATGTTATCATTGGGTCAACACTGACTCAGAGGAATATATGATCAACACGATCTGCTATACCTTGAAGTTGACCCTTTCAAGCCTTTCCCTAATAATCTGTTCATACTAAGTTACTCCCATCTCGGTAGGCAGGCCAGAGCTTGAGCAAACTAGATTACAAAACGATTTAATGCCTTTTTCTTGTTCCTGGCTGGTAGTTTGGAGTGAGGACATTTACTTTGCTGAACTTTTTGTGACATTTCTTCTCCTACTAATTATATCGGTATTATGAACGCTTGCTTGCAAGTGGGCTTTGTTCTGGTATCTTCTAAGTCTCAGTTACAAAACCCTCTTCAGTATCACGTTAAAAATAATCTTTTTATTCTCAAATCTCTAATCCAGTAAAATCCTCACAGGTATTCTCCAAAAGGCCTCTCAGTGTGCTCCTGCATAGACTTGTGCTACAACAGCATACAGTTAGTTTTAAAAGGAAATATGTTTTTAAAATTTCCTGCTCCTTAAATGCTACACTGGAAAGCTCTGAAGATTTTTAACATTTTTGAAGTAATGCCCAGAGAGGTTAAAATAATGTTTCCCTTATGCCTTATAACTCACCC